AAAGAAAGAAAGAAAGAAAGAAAGAAAGAAAGAAAGAAAGAAAGAAAAAAGAAGGGAGGGAAAGAAGGAAGGTGGGAAAAGGAAGGAGGAGAAAAAAATAAAGTAAGAAGATGAAGAAAGAAAGAAAAAGAAAGAAGAGAAAGAAGGAAGGGGAAGGGAAAAAGGAAGATGAAAGCAAAGATAAAGTAAGAAGATGAAGAAAAAAAGAAGGGAAAGAAGGAAGGAAAGGGAGTGGGAACAGGAAGATGAAAGGAAAGGGAAAGTAAGAAGATGAAAGGAAAGAAGGAAGAAGAAAGGAGGAAGAAAAGAAGACAAAAAAAGGACAGGGAGAAGGAAGGGATGAAGGAAGGAAGGAAAGAGAAGGAGTGGGTAAGGAAGGAAGGAGAAAAAGAAAGAAAGAAAGAGAAAGAAAGAAAGAAAGAAAGAAAGAAAGAAAGAAAGAAAGAAAGAAAGAAAGAAACTTCCTGTTCTTTTTCCCTTTTTTAAAAAGAGCAACCCTTTAGGAATTGACAACCCCTCCAGGCAACAGGGGAATAAAACCATCTACACACTATTTGCAAGACCTCATTGAAATAAAAATGGCCTCTGCCCCCCCCCCCCCCCGAAAGATTGGGGGGGGAGGGGAGAGTGAGGCTTTGTTTCCCCAGAGACAAGGAGTCCTTTACTCCTTGTTGTAAAGAAATCCACCCTGAATTGCTGTATTATGTGTGTTCTATTCCCTGGGGGGAAACTGCCAGGGCAGCTTCAGCTTCAAATCAGCTTCTTCAGACACACTTTTTCACCAGTAGAGGGCGCCGTCGTGGCTTTCCCATCATCCTCCGCTTGGGCACCCCAAGTGGTTCAAAGGCGGTACTGCAAGCTTAACAAACCTTGAGTTAGTTGGTGCAAGGGAGTCCCTTGACTTAACGACGAACAGTTTAGCGACCAAAGTTACAACATATAAAAAAAAAAAAAAGAATTTACAGTCCCATCCTTCCTGTTAACGACCACGGGATTTGCTTAATGGCCACAGTGATTCGTTTAACGACCACGACGAAAAAGGTCCTGAGATCGGGCGCAACTCGGCGAACAGCTGCCTCACTTATCCACAAGAAATTCTGTTCCCAATTGCTGTCGTAAGCCGAGGACTCCCTGTTTTGGTTCCTGACAATTCTGCCAGAGGCTTTGATTCACTCCGCCAAATGAAGGGAAACCCTCCAAGGTTGACAACACTCCAGGCCCTGCAGGGGTAGTTTTGTGCGTAGTAGCGAGTCACACAAGAGCGGGTGGGGTGGGGGGGTGGAGGAGGGGAATCCTTTTTAGGGGTGCCAGAAAAGCGAGGCAAACCCAGCTCCAGAATCCCAGCTAGCAGCTCTTTCAGAAGCCTCAGCCGGCCTCTGTGGCTTTCACCTTCTCCTCTGTTGCAAGGTTTGAGCGATTGAGCAAGCGGCTAGCCCTCATTAGTCACCTTCAAACCAAGAGCTTCGCCGATGGATGGAGAAATAAGTAGCCTCAATAGCCTTCGGGGTTCAGTTCCAGAAAGACACTGGAAACATGGAGGCTGCTTGGAAAAGGTGGTTTAATGGTGGGCAGGATCACCTGGCTTGGGTGAAGAAAGAAGGAAAAAGGCAGAGATGCTGCTGAGAAGTCCCTGTTGGGATTTGAATTTGGGCTTGTATTCTGATTGGTTGTCAGACTCCCATGGGGCCACGCAGGGACAACTCTGTAGGTTGTCTTTTGAGTCCCAGGCTTGGTTGAGCCTTGCTGGATGATGATGAGGATGATGTAATGAAAGGGGGTTTAGGCAATTCCTATTATGGCTCTACCTGGAGTAGATCTTTGTTATGTAAAATAGACTGGCCTAGGCCAGAGTACTAGTCCATTAGCAAAGGTGAGAGGGGCCTGAGTTTCTGCCTCTTTCTGAGTTTCTACTTTTCTTTTTAGGGGAAATATTCTGCCTTTTTTAGTATATCCCCCCAAATTTCATTTTTCCTAGGAGAGGGGTGAGTTTTTAACTTCCAACACCACCGTACCGGTCGTCCTTGACTTACAACGGAGCCCGGCCTTTCTGTTGCTAAGAGAGATAGTCAAGTGGATCGTGCCCCCGCATGACGACTTTTCCTTGCCACGGTTTTGTGAAGCGAATCCCCACGGTCGTTCAAGCGAGTAACCTGGTTGTTAAGCAAATCTGGCTTCCCCCACCCCCCCTTGATTTGGCTTGTCAGAAGGTTGCAATCACGTCACCCTGGGGGAGGCCCTGCCCCCCGTCGTAAATATGAGTCAGTGGCCAGGCTTCTGAAGTTTGATCGCACGACCTGCAAACGATCGTAAGCGTGAAAAGTGGTCCCGAGTTCTTTCCTCCCCCCGCAATCCCGTTGTAACTTCAAACGGCCACTCAACTGTAAGTCTGTATTTATGAGACCTGTTCGCGCGAAGTTTAAAACCTTAAAAATTATTAGAAACTAGCTCGATCCCCGTGCTTCGCTACAAAACCATGTGGTCAGGCTTAGTTTGGGGGGACGAAAATAAGGAAATAAAAATTGTGCCTTTTGCCTACCAACATCCATCGGTATTCATCTGGCTAGCGTCCTGTCGGCGTGTGAGAGAGTTGAGGGCTGCTTGGAAACTGAAGGAGTATTTGCTGTGTGAGTAAGGAGGAGACAGCAAGGAGCCTGGGCGTGGCTTAGCTCAACTGTTCTGTACTAAAGTTGCTCAGTGCTCTGAAACTGCAACTCCTCTCGTCTGCTTGTGTTTTGTATTTGGAAGAGATTTCTTTTCAGGTGAGGACTAGAACTCCTTAGCATCAGAGCATGTTAATAATAATAATAATATAGGAAATACTCTAAATGCTCTGAGGGTCATTTGGAAAAATCCTTTTTTAGTGAGCCCCTAGAAGCCAAGAGGAACCTACGTGCCAAATGTCAAGTTTGTAGGCTTTATGGTGCTGGAGTTTTTGTGATGTTGCATGAGTGGCATTTCACTTTTATATATATTATTTATATATATATAAATCTCTTGAGAGGTTGTCCTTGGGTTTTTCCTGGGAACTCCTAACTTTCCAGGCAACCACACGGCTTGACATCTTTCATAGTTGGCTTAATGCTCACAGGCTGTTAAATAATAAGTGTGGCGAAAGCCAAAACAATCTCTTGAGAGGTTTTCCATATATATATATATTC